GGATTTGTTACACTGGAAAATGGGGAATGGGGCTAGGAAGGAGATCATTCTGGCTGGACTTAAGTTTCAAGTACCTAGTTAAATGGGAAATGAATAGGATGGGGCTTCGTAATAGAGGCTAAGAAGCTTAGTCTTTACTAGTCAGTCAATAAATAGTAAACATTTATTACGTGCCTACTATGTTTCAAGCATTGTGTTAAACTCCGGGAATAAAAAAGAAGACAATATCAAAGAGATGACTTGTGAACATCTAAGAAAGCGCAATACTGATCACTACGAGGCAGTGTGGCTTCATCAACTCTGATACTGTCATTCTATTTCACTTCCCTTCTAAAACTCATCAAAAGCTGTCTGGTGCCTAGCCAGGTGTTACCATTGAATTGTGAGCTCTCCACCTGCACGTCCCACTCACCCTGAAAGGCCGCCTGCTGTAGTGAAATGAGTAGTGGACTGGGAGAGAGAAGACGTTCTGGCTCTGCTGCTTACAGCTTTTGTGACATTGGACCAGCTGCTCTTCAGCTCTCCGGACCTCATTGCAATGAGAGGGTTGGACTAGATGCCCTGTCTCGAAGGTCCCTTTCAGCTCTAACGCTCGGAACCTCAGCATATCCCCAACTGAGCTGGTTACCTTTGCCAGGTCCTCTTGATTCTGTGCCTTTTCTCACATATCTTCTCTCCTGACTGTTGTCACCTTGGAGCAGACTCAGTTTGTCATCCACTTAGACTGCTGCAGTGGCCGTCCTCTATTTTCCTCCTATTCCTTCCTGCCAGAATAGTTTTCCCCATGGAATCTAGTCTTGACCTTCTTTGATTCTGTTGCTGTCGGAATCAAGGGCAAATTCCTTCCCTGCTTTCAAGGCCCTCCTTGTTCTGCTGCCACCTCATCTTTCTGGCAGTTCCTTTCCCTGTGCTTTAGGCTCCTGCTAAACTGGATGACTTAGTATTTCCAGACAGTTCCTTGTGCTTTCCCATCTATGTGCCTTTACTCAAACTGTTTCCTCTGCCTATAATATCCTCCTTTTTACCTGCTGAATTCTTACCCATCCTTTAAAACCCAAATCAAATGCTGTATCTTTCATCAGCCTTCCCTCATCCCTTCCCAGGATGGTATATTCCATTTTGACATATCACACAATATATTGTCTCTGTCTTACTCTTGTAGTTGACTGATCATGATAAGAATGGGGCTAATGGCTTTTGTAAACTTGTTATCTCCTCTCTCTTCCTCCCCACCCCCTTTCGTTAGTAGGTTCTTAATTCTTGTTGGGTAAACCTGTAAGGACTAGCTGTACCTTGTCACCTCTTTGCCGTGTTGGTTAGTTCCCATATTACTGGGCAATGTTGCATAACACCTGTGTTTTATAATTGATGTCTTTCTATTAATGATGATTTCAAATTTGGCCTCAACCTCTTTGGCGCCTTATCGTTGGCTGCTAGAATAATATAGTGGTTAGAAGAAATCCGGTTTAGCTTTCTTGATGTTTCTGTTATCAACATTTATGTAGACTGTGGTGGGAGTGAGTTATTCTTTCCCTCTTGTAATGTTAAAATTAAATGTTGTACCTGTTAAAATGAACAGATGCCTGATGTAAGTGTTAAACTTTAATTGTAAAAAAATGTGGAAGGAAGAAAACTGCTTAGGAGTATTCTCCAAGTTAGATACTATAAAGGATAACCACAAAGAAGGAAGAAAAATTGTAGCTGAGGCACCCAGAAATTCACAGGAGACAAAGTCAGAGAGTAATCAGGAGTAAAACCCTTGACCTTAAATGTCTATACTCATGTTCCCAAAGTTTGGGCAGTAAATGAGGGACTGGAAGTCCTAATGAGAGGAGGCAAATTAGAACTCATAAGAATTTTTGAAACTTGGTGGGATGAAAACTCTCACTGGATCATGACTTTGAATGGACATGCCTTACTCAAAAGCATTGATGGTGGGGTTGCGTAGCATAGAGGCGGGTTGGTGATGCAGTGGCCAGAGTGCTGGACTTCAAATCCTGTCTCAGATACTTACTAGCTGTGTATGCCTGGCCAAGTCACTTCAGTTTCCTCATCTGTAAAATGGAATAATAGTAGCATCTTCACTTCTTTGTTGTAAAGATCAAGTGAGAACACATATATACTTTCATTTCAATAAACATTAAATACCTCCTATGTGCCAGGCACTGTGCTAAGCACTAGGGATACCCAAAAAAAAAAAAAAAAAAAAAAAGCAAAATATGGAGTCATCCTGTACTCCTCACTATCTCTCACTCCCCCTCCCCTCCTCTCCCATATCCAAGCTGTTGCCAAGGTCTGTCAATTTGACCTTTCCAACGTGTCTTGAATATGCCCCCTTCTCTCCTCTGATGCTGCCTCCCCTCTAGTGACCCCTCTCATCACCTCCCACACGGACTCTTGCAATAGCCTGCTGTTGTTGGACCTGCTTGCCTCAAATCTCCCTTCACTCCAAAGCATCCTCCATTCAGCCACTAAAGTGATTTTTGTCTTGCCTTAATGAAAATTTCATCCTTGTGGAGAAACCAGCAGAAGCAAATTCTATTCTGTTTCTGATTCTGACTGGAAGGAACTGATTTCTGGGGTGAAATGGACGGGAACATGGGAGACAAGCGACCACTTCTTTATGGAGTTTGTGATAGAGGAGAGGAAACGGGCACAGTCTGACATGTACCTTAGCTTTTGGGAAAGCAGATTTCAAGGGGTTCAGAGAAAAGGTGGAATCCCATTCAGTAAGGTGCTTTGGGATGAGTCAACTCGGGGGTATGTAAAGTGCTCAGGAATGAAATTCTGAAGGCACGAGGGGAAACAGTTCCAGTGAGGAGGAAAACCATTGTAAATGAACAAGGAACTCAGCAGCCAACTTAGATTTTTAAAAGAACTATTCAGAAGATGAAAAAAAGATCAGGTAACAGAAGATGGTAAGAGTGTGGCATGGCCCTGTGAAACACTCATGTGCAGCTTGAGCCTAGGCTGGTGAGGGCGGCCAGGGCCAGACAGCCCAAAGGGCTTCTAAACTATCTGGAGAAAGGAGGCACCCAGAAGCCCCCAGAATTGTAACTTGAGCTGCACAGTGCTTGTTCTCTTTTTGTTTTCTCTGCTAAAGAGTGACCTTTACACTGAAGATGAGAAGACAGAAATGACTATCAGGGGCATGTTACTTAAGGAGAGAGTAAGAGATCAATCACCCACCTGTCCTTGATGGATTCAGATCACCTGGCCCAGAAGAGTACATTGCAGGAATGTTCTCATTTGAAAGCTTTAAAGATTTGTAATAAATAGTACCTTGAACTTGTAGGGCATCTTTGGGTCTAGAATTCCATGTTTCTCTTTTCAGCCTATAACAGCCTTCTCTGGCAGGTCCATCCTTCTGCTCAGGTCTCAGTGTAGGGATTTGGGTATGAAAGTAACGTGCCTCACTCGAAGTAGGAGCTAGGCTTTGGGGATTCCTTTGTATTGATGAGACTTAATTTTTACCATTCTCAAGAACTTTGTTGTTGATAGGGTCCGAAAAAGGTCATTAGCTTACCAATGACTTTCCTCATTTGGCTCTATCTTTCGTTGTCTTCCCCCCTCCCCTTCCCCCATATTATCTAAACATCCTGCCGGTTGGGTATAGTAGATGCATACAATTTTTAAAAAATCTTATCAAGAATTAATTCACTAGCATTTATTTAAAAATAGAATTATGGCATCAGTATGATTTGTGTTGGATCATTTCAGTTCCAGATCACTTGAATTAGTATAGGCAGCTGGTAATACAGTTGATATAGATGCTGCTTACTGACCCTGTGGCTGTGGGCAAGTCACTTAACTTGTCTGAGCCTCAGTTTCTTCATCTTTAAATAAGTGGGTTCGACTTGAATGCCCTTTAGGCTTCTTTCTACCTCCAAATCTATGATCCTGTGATCATTGGTACAGTTTTTATTCTTGCCTTTCAGAGTCTACAGTTTCCAGCTTCCTGTGTACTTTACAGTTGTGCTGGCTCCCCTTTGCACACGTCATCTGAAGGAATCTGGCTGAACCAAACTTTGCTTACAAGCTTGATAGATTTTATCTTTATTGTCCTTGAGAATTGCAAAGTTCTTTATGATCCTCTTAAGTTAGCTGTTTTGTTTTTAATAGTATTTGATTTTTTTTCTATCAAGTTATCCTAATCTTCGGTTAGATACCTATCCTTTCAGGTTTGTCATGGCCAAACTATTTCCTTTGTTTTCTTACCAGGCCCCCTGTCCCGTTGCAGACAGTGAGGCATGGAAGTTTGAGGATAAGCTGTGAATGTAGCTCTGTATTCCATGTCTGTGATTTGAACAGCTTGGCCTGATGTTCCCTCTTTCCCTTTGATTTACTTTCCTACTTCCACTTCTGGTAGGGTGAGGCAGTTCAGAGGTTGGAGCAAATGGTTTTTTTGGATGATTAAATGATAGTTATTTCCAATGCAGAAGTCAGGCTTTCAAAAGTATGCATGATGTTATGTCACTTGAAGCCATAATAAATGATGTCTGTCTTGCTTACTAAGTGGGAGAAGTAGTATATACGGTTGGGGTCTGGCATTGACCAGTCCTGAACAGCTTAGACTTCAGTTCCTAAACTGTAGGCTTCCTTTATAAGCATAGCACCCAGGAGAGATGGAGCAAATGGGGCTGGAAAGACAGTGATAGCTTTTATATTACCATTAGAGCCTTGGATCTTTGGGAAAGGGATGCAACCACATCCTACAGGTGCAGACTTTCCTTTTGCCTTCCCTTGAATTTTCTTCTAAATGTGCTTCCTTCTCACCTTTTTGGACAATTGCGCTTTATTACCATTGGGAAATTTTTTCTTTTTCTTTCTTTTTTGTAGGAAGGAGACAAGCCAATTCTTTTTGCAAATAGGGCAAGGAAGGAATGCCTATCTTAAGTTTCTCTAGCAGCTGTTAACTTGACATTAGATACCTAATGGCTTAATCTTTGATTTGAAGTTTAATGGTTACCCAATCCCTCCCCAACCCTCTTGTTTTTTAGGAACCCGAATCATCTATGACCGAAAATTTCTGTTGGATCGTCGAAATTCTCCCATGGCTCAAACCCCACCTTGCCACCTCCCCAATATTCCAGGAGTCACCAGTCCTGGCACCTTGATTGAAGACTCCAAAGTGGAAGTGAACAATTTGAACAATCATGACAGGAAATCTACTGTAGGTAAGAGAAAAGGTGGGGGGCAGTTGGAAGACTAATAGGGTGAGAGTGCAGTTAAACATTAGGCAGCAGTGAAATAAAATTTGTTCTTTAAATAAAGATTTGGCTGTATCTCTACCAGATTTTTTTTTTTTTTTTTGGTGAGGCATTTGGGGTCAAGCGACTTGCCCAGGGTCACACAGCTAGTAAGTGTTATGTGTCTGAGGCCGGATTTGAACTCAGGTCGTCCTGAATCCAGGGCCGGTGCTCTGTTCATCGCGCCACCCAGCTGCTCCTTTCAGATGTTTGGAAATGATCTTGAAGGTTTTTTCTCTCTTGAAGTTCTTAGCCCAAAGTCAAACCCAGTAGTAGAAGGAAAAGGGGGCAACATGGAGAGAAGGGAATGGTCAGCTGCAAACATTGTCTTGACCAGATTTGGAAGGTCTGCAAGTGCCTCAGACCTCACTGAAGCCCCTTTCATGTCTTCAGGTCGGGGGGAACCTTCCTTTCTTAAGAAGTGTAGCCCCTTTTTTTGCCCTCATGTCATCCTTTGATGCTTCCTTGTGATACAGAGGTGGCCTTGAGCTTTTGAAGGCCTGTGTGTGGCATTTGACAGGGATCTCTGGTAGGTGCCACCACGCTAGACAGGCGGTGTGGACAGGCCCCAGGGCAGATGGTGAATCTGTCATGTCATGTTAGATGATCTCAGTTTGCAGGAGGTCATCACCACATTGGCTGCTGGGCGAGGAGTTTACCAGCCAAGTGACAGAGGAATCATGTCCTCATTAGGGGAGACAGGACCCATGCTTATGAAATAGCAGTGTCAGAGAGCTGGCTCTCTAAGTCTTGGGGAAGGGAATGTGAGTCTTACGTTTTTCCAGATAGACTGGTTTTAAATTCACTCTTTTTCTAGTTTAAAAATAAATAAACTCTGTCCCCAGGGTGGCAGAATTGTCTGTCCTTAAAGCTGGCGCCCCCTGAACTTGAGCCAGCATTCTGTCTCGAGGTTCCAGATCAGAGTTAGAATTCTGAGCAGAGCTAGTGTTCAGAGCCTTGGGAGGAGCTTGTTGATGTGATAGATGTCCCAGCACTCCCTGGGAGCCTGCCTTTTTTCTCCAACCTGTGAACAAAGGTCACTGGGAAAGTTTTGGACTTGTACTCCTCACTGTGGGAGAAGTTGGCTTCCGGTCTGTTTTTTGAGATAAGATATTATCTGACCCATCTTGTAGAGCACCCTCTTGATCAGAGCTTCACCCAAAGCAAAGCAGAATGGTTTCGGGCTGGGGGACAAGGGCGGTGGTAAAGATTTGAGGAGTCCAAGTCAGCTGGTTTTATAGCAAGATGCTGAGTCAGGAAGGGCGGGTGAGAGTTGACAGGATCATGTTAGGGAAGACCTGAAAACAGCATGTTTCCTTTCCTCCTTCTTGTTCAGCTCTTCCAGTCCTCATTTGTAGTTTGTTAGTTCTGAACAAAGCTCTGATGCTTGATTTGAAGTAGATGTTTAATTGCCTTTGAGGGGACAGGGAAGCATCTGATTCCTGTGTGTACCTAGTAGAGAATGTTTCATTTTCGGTTTGTTCTGAACCAGGGGATGATGCTCAGTTTGAGATGGACATCTGATCAGTCTCCAGATGACAGGAGAAGCAGCAGCTCGGATACCTGCGTGTACCTGATTTGACCAATAGGCTTGAGAACTGAAAAGACAGAAGAGGCAGTAGCAGCATCCTCCACTGCAGTCTCCGCCTCATCCTCCAGGTGCCAAAGGATCAGAAGACTAGCTCCCCTTCGTTGACTTCTCTCCTCTGCTCCAGTTTCCCTTGGCCCAGTCTGACTGAATCAAGGCCCCTCGAATATTCCTGAATAGGCAGAAGCCTACATAGGAAGGGAACTGAACCTTCGCTCTCCTGGTCATCTTTCCATCAACGTGGAAAGCTCCCTTCCATCCCAAGCTAGTTGTCAGTTACCAGCTATTACAGAGCTGGGGAGGAATATAGAAGTAGGTTTGTTGGATTCAACGTTATCCATTTCCCTTCCCCTTTGGCCTTCTGTCCCTTGTGTGTTTCAGTTCTGGATAGTCAGAAGGCAGGTTGCTTGCATTTTGACTTTCAGAGCTGTCAAGGGTAGGAGGGGAAATGAGGTGCTAGTTACCTTGGCCTTGGGTGCCCCTCAAGGGAGGAGCTTGCTCTCAAATGCTTCTGTGAAACCTGGGTTCTGACTCCCTGTCCTCTAATGCTCCATTGCCTAGCCCCTTTCCCTTCCCTCTGCCTTCTTTCCTTTGGGGAGGTGTGTCCTCTGTGCAGGGCACACCCCCAACCCACTATCCATTCCCCTTACCTACTCGTTTGAACAGAACTTTTTTAAACTTTGCATTAGAGGGAGCCATTAGTACACAGCTATTGTGCCTCTTCTCTTATTCCTTTCCCTTGAAATTCCTGTTTGCAGAAACTGATTTCCCTCGTTCTTCTCAAATGTCTCAGTGACTCCATCAGCACGCAGAGCAGGTCTGCACCAAGGTAAAGGGGCAGCATTGGCATCTGCTTTGTGGATGGGTTACATGGTTGTTCCTTCTTGGATTCTAGATTTAAACTTGAAAAATGACCTCTTCCCTGTTGGCTTGGGATGCATTTGGAGACCTAGTCTCAATAGTCAACTTCTTTCTCAGGTTGGCAAACAAACTTTCCATCCTCTCTGTTGCCCTGGTTTCAGTCTTGTATTCTGCAAGTGAGTTGGGAGTAGAGTTTGAGACTGATCTGAGAACTGACCCAGACTCTCTCCTGGTATAGTTCTGCCTTCTGTGGCTGACTGATGTAGAATTGGAGATAAACATGGGCTTAGTTTCACCCTTGCTGTCTTTCTCTCCCTCTTCCTCCCCCAGCTTTCCTACTGTACTCTATTGTTTCCCTGTATTTTTTCGTTTCTCTGCCAGTCTGTTTTGCAGCCTGACATCAGAGATACCTTGCTTGATCTGAGTTGGTATCTGATAACATCTGACACTCCTCGCTTAGGAGTGAACCTTTATTTTTAAGATGACTACAGACATATTTTCTAGAAACGTTTTCAGTCAAATTCTGAACAGCAACTTTTTCATTAAACGTCTTCCAGTGTCAGGAAGGTGAGAGGTCTCTGTGGAAGAGGCTTGCGGTTCTCATGCCTCATCTCCTGTTTTCATCCGATACTTTTTTTTTCTTAATTGAATACTCTGGATTCTTTCCATAAGAGCTTTATAGCGAAGGTTATTTGATAATTCTGTCCACGATACAGGCCTATTGGCAGTTGGGACATAACCTGCTGGGAGGTCATCTTGGGCTGGGTAAACTTCCATCCAGAGTTCCTCTGAGATAAGTATGTCTGGGAATCCCAAGAGGTTACCATTGAAGTTGGTTAGATATAGAGATTTCCCAGTCTCTTTGTACTGACGAAGTGCCTCTATGTAGCTCGGGGTTTCTATTATTGATTCTTGTTTGGCATGGTCTTGGCTCATTGGGGAGCGACCTTGTTGGGTGATATGTGCGTTTCTGACCTCGGGAGGAACCTCAAAGGGCAGATTACTGTGGGTGGATCAGTGTCCTCTTCGAACTCACGCTCTGCAGGGTTGGTCTGAGCTTCTGGAATGTCTGCTGGCTGAGAGGAGCCTTCTCTGAAATATTCCTCAAGATCGTCTGGACTCAGGGACGTTCCTTCCTCCTTGCCTGTTGCTTGGAGACTGAATTGGCTTTCAAGGGGTGTGGGGATAAGAGAATGAATATCTGTGCATGGAAATTTGATAGAAGTCACTGCGGGGTCAAATGTGTTGGCACTTGAAGGCTTTGGTAATTGGAGTTCTAGTTTGGGACGCAGTATGCTGTCTCCAAGTAAGTCAGTGTTTTGCTGGGGCAGAGATGGACTTTTTTCTTGTTCTCCTGTCAATCTTGGGCTTGTAATTCTTGCTTAGCCTTCACCCCCTCCTTTTGTTGATTTTTGCAAATTGCATTCTTCTGCTGATGGAACTCCGCAAAGATCTCTTCTTCTTTCTCTAGCCCAGGGCTTTTAACTTCTAGCATTTCTTGGCATAGCTTTAGCCTGCTTTTGGCCTCATGGGCTGATCCTCATCAAGATTCTCCCTTGGAGGTGTGCTTCTATGAGCAGAAGCAACACCTGTTGCCATGACTGACAGTTGCTGCAACTGATTAACCCCTGTGAGATTCAAGTCGAGCATAGGGGGCATAAATCCCATGTTTTGAGATCTCCTTTACTGCACATCTAAAACTATCAAGTTCTCTTTGAAGACTCCTGCCTCGGGCCAAGGGGTGAAGCTCAGCTTCAGGCTTTGTGTGGGTAGAACATGACCCAGAACAGTTTTTACAATTAATAGTCCGACAAAGCATTCTTGGGCAACTGATGTGGCAGTTATTGAGTCTGGTGCATCGTGCCCAGTCTGTTGATGGAGTCCTTGGTGTGTGATAACAAACTCAAGAAGAAAACTTTGCTGCCTTATTGTGAAGATAGTTTTCATAGCAGCAATTGAGACACAGGTTTGCGCGAACTCTGCTAGGCCTTGTTTGGAGTGAACCCGGTTTGGCGTTAAGACCTTTTCAACGCAGCCTTGTTCCCCTCCTGCCAGTTTTGGGAGGAAGAGACTGCAGAATGAAACGAAGGGACCAGTTCTTCCTCTGTTTAATTCCCTCGTGGAACTGCTTGTTGTAGTCGGGGACTTGAATTGCTTGCATCAAGGAGCTTGCCCAGGCCAGCAGTGTCATCCCCCCTGAGTTGGTGATCTCCGTATCCGTGCTCTGAGGGATGCTGTGCCACTGGGCTCTCTTGGTACTTCTCCATATCATAGGGTCAGTAAGCAGTGATCTAGATGGTCTCCTCGGTTGACTCCTGCTGCTGTCACATCAGTGAACCTGCAGCATAGAAGGTCTAGGTCTTTGGTAGCTTAAAAAATCAGTTTCCTTGCCCTAGCATATTTGGTTTGAGTGTTCAGTCCACCCCCTCAAGTAAGTCATGCAATGAATCCATAATCGCAGGGCTGATTCCGATGTAGATTGCGATGCTTATCTTAGGCCTTTTGATGAAACCGATTTGAATCTTACTCTTCTTCCCCAATACCTTTGATATATGGTTTTGTTCCTTTTCCCTTGACTCTGTGTGTGCATGTTTAGGGTTTTGTAGTGGGTAATTAACCAGACCATTCTGCCTTGTGCTTTGCCAAAGGCTGAAGCTGTCTTCATCTTTCCCTTTTTCTTCTCTTCCTTGGCTCTCGACAAACAGTTGGTTCCCCTTCGGATCCCTGATTACTACCTGTTGCTGTCCCTGCCCATCCTTCCACAGGATTTGGCTTATGTGATTGAGTTCCTTAGCATCCTGGGCTCTGATACCAAGAGTGAAGCTGCCTGGGCGAAAGTCACAAACTTGTGCAGCTTTTTAAAAAGCTGTTTGTTTTTGTTCTGAGCTATGAAAAGACCCTGATGGTGAATATGTTTTCACATGAGGCTGAAGAATTTCTTAGGAACTTGATTCGGTTTTCTGCTACAAAATGTGAATAGTTAAAGGAACAGAAACCTTTGGAAATGGTTGGTGTTTCTCAGGAATAAGCTGCATCTGCAGTGTTCAGGGAATGTTTGTGTGTAAAAATTTGGGGATGAGAAAAGTGGCCATATCAAAAAAAAAAAATTCTATCCCTGGGTTGGTTCTAATTAAACTCCTACAAAGTGTGGCTTTCCATGTTCTTAAAAGACTTTAAGTTGCATAAATGACAGGCCTTACAGGGATCTCTGGTCCAAGAGAGAGCTTGGTACAATTCAGAAATTGGCATTAAAGTGATCTACAACCAGGCAGCCTTGATGGGTTTGAGCTTCGTTGTTAACATGGGAAAATGTGATAACTTCATTGACCAAAAAATATGGATTAGAAACTCAATTTTGAAACAAGGAGCCATTGTAGTAATTTGTTTTCTCTTGAGGGGAGGGTTGCAGCCAAATCCCCTTCCCTCTTTTAAATCCTCTCACCCTCACCTCTGAGACTGAAAGTCTCCCCAAAACCATGTGAAGTTGTAAGAAGTCCTCTTCTGATGGTGATCCCAAGAGGTTTTCTGAACTCCCTGTCATTAACTGTTTTTAATTAAACAAAGCCAAGACACCAACTTGAATACCTAACTGCAGCCAAGATCAGTATTCAGAGAGAGAGAGTGTGAGTGTGAGAGAGTGTGTGTGTGTGTGTGTGTGTGTGTGTGTGTGTGTGTGTGTGTTGGGATGGGAGGGGTGTTGGGATGCTATGGGCTGATATATATCCTCTTCCTGGAAGTTCTTAAGTCAGTGTTTAAGAAACACGTAGGGAGAGGGCCCTTTTGGTCTAGGTGACCCTTAATTTGCGTTGTCCTTTCTATATAGACACTCCCTTTCTGTGCCTCTGGAGACAACCCACCTTTCTTGCTGTGGTCTTCTCCTTGCCAGCTCTGGCAGCAACATCTGCAGGATCAAGAATCAAATTTCTTCCAAATCTGCTTCCCTGGATCCAAAATGTAATTTTAATGTTCTCATTCATTGAGTAGATGATCCAGATGCTGAAGACCACTAGGATTTAGTGAAATGGCCCTTCCAGGGATCTGTTGCTGAGAACCTTGTTCTTTTTTTTTCCCACCCCCTAAAGTATGAAATTAAGGTCTAAATCAGTGAGCTTACTTATTTATGATTTATTGCTGCTGAACATGATTGACTCTGCCAAAAGCCAAACCGGGAGAAGAGAGAGTTCTGAAGTCTTGGAACTGAGTCTCTTCCCCACAGAGTGACTGGTTTCAAACATGTTGAATGAATGAATGGGTGAGTAAGGGGGGTGAGAAGGAGGCAGGTCTCAGCAAGCTGAGACCTTTTTGGCTCGATCCTAGTCATAGAGGCTTACATTTTTCTCGTTATCCCAAATGCCAGGTTTTCATTTCTGATGACTAGATTAGAGTCTTCTCTCGACCTGGCCTCAGTTTCCTCGTCTGTAAAAGAAGGAGCTAGACCAGATGCCTCTCACGTCCCTTGCAGTTTTAGATCTCGTGACCGTGACTCAGGAATTGCCAGGTCAAGGGATGAGGAGCTGTAGTAGGACTAATTGGACTGAGGGAGCAGTGCGGGGTCAACCCGGGGCCATCAAGCAGTGACCCCAGTTCGGAGACATGATGTGATTGACAGAGATCAGGATCTGAGCAGAAGCAGACATGGCAAACAAGAAGCCAGGTCAGAAACATAAGAAATTGTTTGGTTTGCCAAGCCCGGGCAAAAATATCAGAAATTCTAATGAGCAGAAATAGAGGAAGCACCCTACTAGGTTTTAGATTGAAGTAGGGTAGGATTCGGGGCAGAACAGCTCTATCAGCTGAGAAGAGAGTAGAGGCCCAGAGTGCTTGGCTAGACCTGAAGACCTCTTCCACCTTACCCTGGTTTTTCAGTTAAAACACTGATGTTGTTTTGGTAGATGTGTGTTTTTAAAGTGAGACCAGCCTCTTTGCCTAAGTTGAACTTTCTAAGGTACTTGCTTTTCTCAGCAGCCATTTTTCTCCCCCTCATAGCTGTTAGAGATTTCCGAATTAAAAATGCAGTATTTTATATGTTTGAGTGTCAACATTTATCTAATGACTGAAGAGATTGAGCAGGTGTTACATGATTTCTAATTATTCCTTTTCTTCACTTCTTCATTGTCAGTAATCAGATCTAGCATCTTCTGCCATTGTGGGAAAGAAAGGCTTAATGGTGTCAACTCCGTTGTGCCTAGTGGCCCCTTACTGTTGTGTCGAGCTTTAAAAGAGGATCCTTTCATTGGGCCAAGGCCTAAGTCCCCTCTGTGTCCCTAGCATTATTGTTGTGTTGAATCAGTGTTTCCTTTGGAGATTGAAGCCACGGCTGCTGCAGAGTCGCCTGGTTTCTGTCATCCCCAGGGTCGGTCGGTTGGTCGTTCCTCCAGTCAAACATTTATTTATTGAATGTCGGCATAATTGTGTGCAAAGAGTTCCACTCATTTTAAGTTCCCCGGTGCTTCAGGTATTGGTGTCTTTGTGACTATTTAGACAGGAATCCTTTCTCAAGTTCCTTCTCTTTTCTTCCCTAGTTGGATACTCAGCTGTTGGAGCAGTTGCTTTGGGGTTCCTTATTCTTAAAACCTTTGTTGGCACTTTGCCTTGTGCTCTTAACCACAGAAATTTCTCACCTTGCAGGAGAGAAATCTGTCTCCTGTTGCCTGTATTGGCCGGCAGAGGGCAGTGTCTTACCCCCAGTGCAGAGTTGGAATCAGAGCTTCCTTTTCCTTTGGCAGTCTTTCCACAGAGTAAAGCAAAGCCCTTCCTCTGCTCCCTTCCCTCTGGTTCAGAGCTTTCCCCACTTTGCACATCTCTGGACCAGAGGTCTGTGGGCAGTTGGCGGGCTCTTTATTAATCTGCGTAACCCAATCACATTTATAGAGGGGTAGAAGGGATTCATTTGAAATGAGTGCTTCATTCTTAGGAATCTGTTTGGATTCTTGACTTTGAGGGGCTTTGACCATCCCTATAACTTGTAGCTTTTCATTTTCCCTAAATGAAGATGGGCTTGGAGCCAAGAAGAGGCAGGCCCCAGTTCCCAGGGACCTAAGTCTTGTCATTGTTTTGCTCATGGTTTTTGTTTCGGAATTGAGGTTCTTTTGACCTTAGACTAGAGGCCAAGTCAGAATTGGATATTTTTTCCCCCAAAACTATAAGCATTTGGTTGGTACATATTTATTTTCCCATTTTCCCCTCTGGGGAATATTAACTGCTTCCTATGGGCTGGTCCTGGAAGTTGCTCCCTTTTGTTAAAACTCAGATACAGGAAAGGTCTTTTGGTTCTCATGTTAATCTTTCTGCGCTTTCCCTTTCCTTAAACTCTGCAGACCCGGCAGACTGCATCTTATGTCGGGGATGCCAGAATAGAAAACCGGAGGCTTTGGGAAATGTGACTGAGATGAAACAAGTTCCCTAAGGCATTTAAACTCTTACTGTTCTCCCTGTCTAATGATTGGAGCAGGTGGAGAGATGCTTGGAAGCTTGATAATCATCTGCCCAAATGGGGTTCTTGAAAGGGAAGTCTCCTCTTCTGTGTTAGAGAATATTGGTTCTTGAAACTGAAGTTACTCAACATCCCAAGCTTGGAAGACTTCATGAATCAAGCAAGTGTGGCATGCCCATTCTAGCCCCCACATTCCTTCCCTACTCTTTAGTCCTGATCTTAAAAACAAAACAAACCCACCTGTGCCAAGGGTAATTTACTTGAAACTATGGGACAAGCCCCATTCTATATATAGGCTAGAGATCAGATTAGATGAGGAGGATGAATGGTCCATCCCACTTACTAACTTCCCCATGTCTGTGCTAGTATCACCGGGCATTGGTGGTCCAGTGCCTTTCCTTCACCTCAAGATGGAATCCATCTATTTTCTACCTTGGTGAAGCCACCCTCTTCCTGAAGGGGGTGAGGTAGACCTTGAAGGTGTCTTGGAGAACCCAAAGGACACTTGCATGTTGGGTGTCCATTTTAAGCTTCTTTTTAATAATCTTTTATAAAGAAAATGCTCATTGCCTTTACCCAGTCCCCCTTAACCCCCTTGTTCTCTTGCCCCTTTCTTTCAGTGCCATTCTGAATCAAAAAGCTATGGCTAGTCAGAAATTGTGCTGAGACCACCTCCCCTGCCCCTGGCCACCTCCTTACCCAACTCATCGTTCCCTGTCCTTTCCTTTTCATTATCATTCTGGATGGAAATCAGAGGCTGCCAGCCAAGGTCTTTAGGCACTTCTGTATAATTCCATGGGTTTTGTGGGTTTTTTCTTTTGTTTTTGCTTTGGTTTTTATTTTGTTTTTCAAAACCAACAGGTATTTGGAAACATAGGAAAACTCTCACCAATGGTTGCTGTTAGTTAGATCAATAAAGATCTTGACTAAAATCTTGGCTTTGGATTGTTTTTTCCCTCTTCACACTGTCAGTTGTTAGCATCTTGGGAGCCTTTGTTAGAATGTGGAAGGTGTTTGGGGAAAGGCTACAGCCTTCTTTGAGCCTAACACTCAAGACTGACACATCAGTGGAGCCCTTACAGTTGGGGTGTGGCTCAAGAGAGGCAGGCCAGTATTGGACAAAGAGCACTAGGCTTTGGGGTCAGGAGCCCTGGATTCAAGAATCGACCCAAAGCTTAGCAGGTGTATGCTCACAAATGAACAGATTCCTTTGCTGCTGAATCTTGTAAATTGTAAAATGGGACAAATACCACAGCACCTATTTCGCAAGGAAAAATCCCTCGTAAAATGTAAATTGTCATCTCCTTTTTGAGAAGTTAGCGCTTCTTTCCTGTTACTGTAGGTGTTCCTCACTCAAAGGCTGACTGAGGACTAACTCCAGACTTCCCTCTGCCCTTCACACAGGTGCATGCTTGGTGACATCTTTCATGTCTGGCAATAAGCATTGCCTGGATGAGGGCTCCAGATAACCCCTCCGAAGCTTCCTTAAACACTGTGCTCACTATTGCCGTATGCCATGACATTAGTGCTGGAATTGAGGTCTTTGCCAATGGGGTTGTTCAGTTTTTTGGAGAGGATAAGTCCAAAGGATCCCATGGGTTTAGGGAATCCTTTTCCAGTAAAAGGACTGAAGCATAATCTTGATTTCTGAGAATTCTCAGTGACGGTCAGCACAGTTAGTTCACCTTAGTGTGCCGTCAAGGATGTGATAATGTATTGGATGGAACTGGGTTCAGATCTTTGCTCCAACATTGGCTATGCAGCTTGGCAAGCTTAGGGTATTTTGGTGCATTGGAATTGAGAGTCTGGAGACCTGGATTTGAATCTGGCCCCACCACAAGGCTATTCATTTTGCTTCTAGGAACCTCTGGCCTCTCATCTGTAAATGAAGCTAATTCTGGCACTACCTACCTCATCGAGTTGGGCATCAAGTGCTTTGTAAACCTTAGAATCACCGTGGAAAAAATTATTAAACTTGCATCATAGATTTAGGGCCAGGAAAGAGATGTTTGGCATTTTCTGTTCCATCTCTTTTACAGAGGAAGAAACAGGCCCAGGGAGATCATTAACTTGTCCCACATCACACAGTAAAGGTGGGATTTGACCCCAAATCTGCTGTGCTTCCCGGGCTGCTAGCCTGGGGGCTGAAGTGAACCCATGCTTGACACCCCTGATGTGTGCGTAGTACTTTAGCGTATTGCATCGTCTCTCACTACCTCGTGGAAGTTTACAAGCCTCAGAGCACAGATTGTCCTCAAAGGAGTGTTTGCTCAGCCAGCGGGAGCTTTCTAGGAGAGGAGTAGCGTTACCTGTGGGCCTGGTGCAGAATGGAATTGTATCACTGCTCACCTTGGGTGCCCCTTCTCCTATATCCCTTTTTGGTCCCATTTGCTTTCTCACCCTTCTCCCCTTGCCCATGTGGTAGGCTTGCCAATAAGCACTCTGCAGTATTGCTTGGCCCCACTGTGGCACTTGGAACCCAGATTGTAGCTGATTGCCTCCAGGACTTTGCTAGTTACTAGTTACTTGTGAATGTCTTGGCTTTGCTCTGTGACCGGTAGCCTTTTTTGCCTTAGATTTCATTTTGAGCCTTTGGCTGCTCAGTTAAGACATAAGATGGCTATTTGAGGCAGACTCTCACCGCACCCATTACAGATCCTTTGAGAAGAAGCCTGGTATAGGGGTTTGTAGAAGGGCAGCTTTGCTGAGAAGCGAAAGCTTGGTGTCTAGGTGATTTTCTCCAGCCTGACTTGGGCCGGTGCACCTTGAGTCCCACCCCCTGCCACCTGATCATCTCGCCCAAGAGCGGGACATAGTCCGCCTTCAAGGCTTAGTCTGCCAGACATTTTGTGTGGTGTAATCACCTTCAGCTGAGATCCTCAGCTTTCTGTGATGACATGGCTTATCATCAAGGCTCTGAGTTTCACTGAAGAGTAAATCTGCTGTCAGCACTTCTCAATGTGGCCACAAATAGAGTGGCCTTTAACTTCCTCTGCTCTAGCCCCATAAGAGCTGCTAAGTTATCCTGGCTTGGACTGTGGACTTCTCTGGAGGCCCTGTGAGCTGTGAAAGCTTTTACAGTGGGATTCCTTCTCAGCCCCGTGTTTCATTGGAGTGTAAATGTATAATTTGGTCTATTATTTGTGAGAATAATCCAGATGCCTGCTTTTTTGGCTGCAAGCTAAGCCAAAGCAGAGAGTAAGGCTGCCCTGTGAGCCGAGTGTTATCAAATGCAAAATCCTTTCTGGCCTTGGCTGCCATCTCCATCTAGCCCAGGTGGTGGCTGGCTGGATCGATCTGATGATGATTGGAGGTGTTGAGTTCACAACTAGCCAGACAGATGCAAATCCAATCTCCTGCTAGGCCCTAGTTACAGCTAGGGCTGCTGCTCCTCTGGATCATTCCTTCTGGCACGAACACCTAATTAAGCTAGCCTTTTGAAGACCCCGGGGGAATTCTAGGTTTATTCTGCAGTTGGATTAATTGAAGGTCCTAGAACCTCATGCAAAGGGTTTATGAAAGCTTGGTCATCCCCCAAATGGGCAGCTGCCCTTCCACGGATGGATAAAAGAAAATGAGGAGGGGATCTGGTGGAAGGGTTGTGACCCACTGCCATATGGCGCCTGTGTGAGAGAGTTCAGCTGTAGTGCCATGAAGTTTGGTCCAAACCAAGACCAACTGGGACCTGGCAGTGGGCCTAGGGGAGAGGTTCAGGCAAGACCCAGGGCTATTTGGCTTTACAAACACACATCTATCTCCCATGGCAAGTAGTGTAAAGGAATAAAGGACCTAGTTGATAAAATCACCCTGATACAGTGAAAGGGACATGGCCTTGGGAAGTCAGGAAATTTGGGACAGTTTCCTGATTATACCACTTCCTGGCAATATCCTTCACCTTTGAGCCTCTGTTTCTTCATCTGTAAAGTGGAGATAATGTTTGATCTACGTACATACCTCGAAGGATGTGAGGAAAGAGCAGTTTGTAAACCTTTAAGTACTATGGAAATGTAAGTTATCTTAAACTCACAAGTCAAGTCACCTTGGCGTCCCCAGCTCACTCTAGCTGGACAGCAGAGTCCAAGCTCTACCGTTTATTAGCAGATCACTTCATCTCTCTAGGCTTGTCTCCTTCCACAGATATAAAGAGGGGATTGTATTCCTTGGTCCATGAGGTCCCTTCCAGCCCTAAATTGTAAACATCACCACCTTAGATCACAGCACTGGAAAAGGCTTTGGGACTAATTTCATCTAATCCTGTCATTTTACAGATGAGGAAACTGAGGCCTGTAGGGGGAAAGATGAGTTGTCCAGGACTGTGGCTAATGAGTGGCAGAGCTAATTGAAGCCAGGTTGTCAGGACCTCAGGCCAAGGTTGTTTGGGCTTTATCAGCTAAGAAACTTGGGAACCCAACTTAAAGGATACATGAAGAAATACCTACACTGTCACCTTTGGACAGATATGAATTGTGTTTCCCTAGTAGCCCCAGCGCAGCAAAGATGAGGGCAGGACCCTGACTTCCCTCTTCCAAAGTCTTCTATACCTAGACCTCCTGGAGAAGATTCTTATCCTTCCCTTTAAATGCCAAAGCCACCTGGGAGAAGATCAATAGTTTTATTGACATGTAGAGTTCATTAGCAGAGACCAGCTCCTGCTTACACACCTGCCTGCCCTGGCGTCATTCTGGGGTACCAGCCTCAGAGATCAGAACAGACCCATTCTATGAAGAAGAAACAGGGCAAGCCCCACAGCTGGAGCTTAAACACTCCATTCTCTCCGTCCACAGATTGTCTCTCGAGCCAGATTCACATCACCTCAGCTCTGGTGGGCACTGAATCCTTTCTGTGTTAACTCCCTCTTTCCTGGCCCTTTCAGCAGTTCAGCTGAGCCCTGCCAACAGCAGAGGGTGGGGGTTTGAATTGAGTTGACTTGTAAATCTAATGTCTTTTCAGAGGCACCCACACTCCTCCACTATCATGTCCTTGTGATGGTCCAGGAGGACATTGCCATTCTCCAGATACAACATGCTGAGGGCCTTGGTCTTCACGGGAGCACAGCACGTAGAAGGCACTTGGTGAGGCTGGTAGAACTTCAGTAAACTCTGCAGAGGGAGAAAAGGAGGGCAGGGCAGGTCAGAATTGGATTGTTCTCACTCCAGGTAAGACAGAATGGGGAGGAGGGGGTATGACTGGTCACTGCCTTAGGCCAAACAGAACCCAAGTGAGGGTTTCCCAGTATAGAAATAGGTAAAGCTAGGAGCATTTTTAATGAAGGTAGCTATGAGTTCACTTGTTGGTGGAGCAGGAAGGGGCCAACAGTCTAGATTTCAGCAATATATTGGCCCATTCGGATTGGCTCCTAATGCTGACTATAGCAGGACCTAGTAAGTGTTCAAAGCCTGTGGACTTTGGGTTTCAGTTTTTTAGAAATAACTTCAATTTTATTCGTAGGTTCAGTATATGTCAGAACTGGAAGGGACTTGTTTATCTCAAACAATTTCTGATATGGTTGGAACTAGGGCCAGGGTCTGGACCTGTGGTCTTCTAGGTGCTTGGGTTGGCCTTTTGACTGAGTCCAAGTTTTACAGAACAAATCCTTTTAAGTGTCTCGTAGACACTTCTTAGTTGTGTGACCCTGGGCAAGTCATTCAACCTTATTTACCTCCGTTCCTCATCTGTAAAATGAGCTGGAGAGGGAAATGGCAAACCACTACAGTATCTTTGCCAAGAAAACCCCAAAATTTCACTTGCAAAGAGTCAGACATGACTGAAAATGACTAAAAACAAGCAAAACCATATTCATCCATTTTCTTCTGTCCATCTTTCCTAACATTCCTTTACCTCTTCTTTCTGTTCTCTCCCCACCATAATTTAGAGAAGCAGAGGGTAAGTGGCCATTAATCAGCTCTATTAACTATTCAGAACTCAAGGGCTG